ACAAGTTTCAGCTCATTAACTCGCACGCTTATCGAAAGCGATCGGTTTAACTGGAAATCGAACTTATCTGTTTTACAGAAGACAGAAAATTTTAGTCCTCAAAATATGTGCAATTTCTGGTTAGCCATCAAAATTTACATAAGTAAAATAGAGTTTTATGAAAAAGTCTGTCTCCATAGCTGAACAACAAGCGATCGAAGTTTCAACTTAGGACTCTATTTCATCGAAAACTATTGATCAGAGAAATCTTTAAATCGCACCGATGGATTCAGTTTCATGTCCTTAAAAGCCAACAAAGTCTAAATCCGAAAATAAATTAATTTTTAAAGCCTTTTTGCCTATTTGTGTCAATCGTGTCTTTTAGTAACTATCCAATCTTTGATTTTATTACATACTCCTAACAAGATTATTTGTATGATCTAAAGCTACATGTAAATTAGTGAAATGGTTACAGAATTTTGTAGATAATCATGACGTGTTTCTTCTTTCAATTGACTTTATTTTCACCTTGTTAACCATTAACGATTGATGAAAAGCTGGACGTTAATTACTATGTGATTTTTGTAACTCGTACCTGAAATGAATGGAATGAAACTGATGAAACCTCATGAGCTTTGAAATGCGTTTTAATATCCTCTGATTGTAGATAATCTAATTAGGTGATTTTTCTGAGCTAACAGTCAAAGCTCAATAACATTTTATTATTTTCTCATTTTCTCATATTCTTTATGATTTTGTTTGAATGACAGAGTTTATGTATCTAACATACGATAATACAATGGTTTATTCATTTTAACAGCAGCTGCTTATAAGAAAACAATAGATTTGCAAGTTTATGAAATGCGGACTTGATGAATCAGGCAGAATTGTTTTTTTCAAATGAGCCTCGACATGTCGATCAAATTATTTGACAGTATTTCCGATCTATTTTACGTGAGACTGTGGTGAGTATCGCTAGTATATAATGCATCTTTTTGTCGAGTTTCAAATCATTATCTTCAGATTATTCGAGTTTAAAGTTTGATTTGATTTACAAATTCCCTTTCAAAATGCGTTCATTTACCATTGCTATTTTTAGCTGTCGTTATCTACACTGTTTCAGCAGCAGTCGTACCACAGGAAGAGCTTGTTCCACTGGTAGTACC